AAAAAAAAAATCAGTTTAGGTTCTGTTAGAACCCTCCTGTGTTGCTGTGGCTGTGTTTTGATTTCTGATTTCTACTGTTGCAGGTAAAAAAAAATTCAAAATACAGGTTAGGCTTCCCTAATCTGAAAACCTGAAATGCTCCAAAATCTGAAACTTTTTGAGCACAGACATAACTCCACAAGTAGAAAATTCCTGGTAAAAAATAATTTGAGGAAAAAAAAATATTTTTTTTCCTCAAATCACCATTATTATTATTATTACTATTTTGAGACAGAGTTTCGCTCTGTTGTCCAGGCTGGAGTGCAGTGGTGCAATCTCAGCTCACTGCAAACTCTACCTCCTGGGTTCAAGCGATTCTCCTGCCTCAGCCTCCTGAGTAGCTGAGATCACAGATGCCCGCCATCACGCCTGGCTAAATTTTTTTTTTTTTTTTTTTTGACACAGAGTCTCGCTCTGTGGCCCAGGCTGGAGTGCAATGGCTCAATCTTGGCTCACTGCAACCTCTGCCTCCCCGGTTCAAGCCATTCTCCCTGCCTCAACCTCCCGAGTAGCTGGAATTACAGGCACCAGCCACCATACCCGGCTGATTTTTGTATTTTTACTAGAGATGAGGTTTCCTCATGTTGGCCAGACTGGTCTCGAACTCCTGACCCCAGGTGATCCGCCTGCCTCGGCCTCCCAAAGTGCTGGAATTACAGGCATGAGCCACCGTGCCTGGCCTAATTTTTGTATTTTTAGTAGAGATGGGGATTTCATCATATTGGCTAGGTTGGTCTCGAACTCCTGACCTCAGGTTATCTGCCCACCTCGGCCTCCCAAAGTGCTGCAATTACAGGCATGAGCCACCACACCCAGCCATAAAGTTTTAAAAAAGAAAAAAATATATATAACGAATTCCACACCTGACCTCATGTGACAGGTTGCAGTCAAAACAAAACGAAGTAACACACCTTATTCAGCATCCTCAAGGGAAAAAAGACCCTTCCAGCTCCCTTCAGTTACAATATATCTTTTCTGAGTATGCCCAGATTTCCTTATGCAAGCATGCCCACAAAGGGTAATAAAATGGCACATGCTCTGACTGGTCACACCAACAACAGATTCCCCATGATGCCCTACGTGGTGCGAAGACCTATATGCATTGTTCAGTGTGTGTTTTTGTTTGTTTGCTTGCTTGCTTGCTTGATTATTCTCTGCTCTTTGGTATAAAGACGTTGAAAATATCAAAAAGGCCCACAAATACTCCTATGGGTTATAGTGATAAGAAAAAGAAGTAACATTTATGTTTATCTATAGCACGGAAAGTCAAGGTGTTATAGAAACTGAACAGTGGTGTAAGTATGAAATACATTATAGAGGAATATGGTATTAGAATGACCACTATATATGACCTGAAGAAAAAGAAGGATAAACTGTTGAAGTTTTATATATATCAGAAGTAGTATATATAAAGTGGAAGTGATGAACAGAAGTTAATTAAAAAGAGAAAAACACTGCATAAAGCTAAAATGAAGATCTCAAGCGATGAAGTTAAAATGACGGGAACCGTGAATATTGAACAAGCCAGTTGCAGAATTTTTTTTTTTAGACGGAGTTTCACTCTTGTTGCCCAGGCGGAGTGCAATGGCACGATCTTGGCTCACTGCAACCTCCACCTCCCGGGTTCAAGCAATTCTCCTGCCTTAGCCTCCCGAGTAGCTGGGATTACAGGCATGCGCCACCATGCCCGGCTAATTTTGTATTTTTAGTAGAGACGGGGTTTCTCCATGTTCGTCAGGCTGGTCTTGAACTCCCAACCTCAGGTGATCCGCCTGCCTTAGTCTGCCAAAGTGCTGGGATTACAGGTGTCAGCCACCATGCCCGGCCCAGTTGCAGAAATTTAAAAGAAGACATGGCATTACATTTTTAAAGACTAATGGTGATTAGCATCTGCTGGTCATGAAGCAGCAAAGAAATTTATTGACAAGTTTGCCAGGGTCATTGCTGTTGAAAATCTGACACAAGAACAAGCCTATAATCCTGATGAAACAGCACTCTTTTGGATTATTGCTCCGGAAAGACACTGACTGTTGCTGATGAGATGCAAATTAAGGATGCCAATGACAGAATAACTGTGTTAGGATATGCTGATGCAGCAGGAATGCATAAGTGTAAACTTGCTGTGATAGGCAAAAGCTTCCTTCCTCACTGTCTTCAAGGAGTGAATTTCTTACCAGTCCGTTATGCTACCAAAAAGGCATGCACAGATCACCAGCGACATCTTTTCTGATTGGTTTCACAAACATTTTGTACCAGCGGCTCATGCTCACTGCTGGGAAGTTGGACTGGATGACAACTGCAAGATTTTGTTACTTCTTGACAACTGTTCTGCTAATCCACCAGCTGTCTTTCTCATCAAATATAATGTTTATGCCATGTACTTTCCCCTAAACATGACTTTATTAATTCCATGTGTCCAGGCTATGCTTGGATCAATGAGAGTAAATATAAAAACATTTTCTTGTGCTAGCAGTAATGAACAGAGGTGTGAGTGTGAAATTTTTTTTTCTTTTTTAAGTTTTTTAATTTAAAATTAAGACAACTGCAAATTGTCCCCATGGATGACTAACATAGTGACTCCTTTGCTTTCTGATGGTTCAGGGTACACAAACTGTGTTTCATGCATAAAATTATTTAAAATTATTTTTGCTGTGTTGCCCGGGCTGGTCTCAAACTCCCGGGCTCACGCGATCTTTCTACCTCAGCTTCCCAAAGTGCTAGGATTATAGGCATGAGCCACCATGTCCTGCCAGAAAGTTTTCAAAAGGAGTGTAGCATGAAGAATGTCTTGTATACTGTTGCCAGTGCTTGGAAATCAGTGAATAAAGACAAATTTGTGCATGCCTGGCACAACTCTGGCCTTTGACTATGTTTAGTGATGATAATGAACAAGTTGGTGACTTTTAAGGATTCCATATGTCGACAAAGTGAGAAAAAAATGATGTCTGACCTCTTTACATATACAAAAAATTGCCTTCAGAATTTGTCAGTAAACAGAAAGAAGTGGATATCAAAGAAGTTTTTAACATTGATCATGAGGTTCTAGTTGTTCATTAATTGACCAATGATGAAATAGTCGAAATGGTTCTGAATCAAGGTTATCATGATAATAGACATTATAACAATGAAGATGATGTTAACATGGCGGAAAAAGTGCCCATAGACAACGTGATGAAAATACATGATGAGCTTATTGAAGGGCTAGAGCAGGGTGCATTCATAACAGGACAAGAAATCATGTTTGTTTATAAAATCAAAGAGAGACTTTTAAGACAAAAACTTATTAGTAAGGCACATGACTCTGGAGAAAACATTTTAAAAAGCCATCTAGCAGAATGCCCCCTCACCCCTAGAGGACCCACTTCCTGGTCCTTCAGCTGCTTCTGATGTTTCTTCTCACTTGAAAAAGAAAATACAGTGTATGGTAATTTTTTAATCAAAACACAGTGAGACTGGATGCAGTGGCTCACACCCATAATCCCAGCACTTTGGGAGGCCGAGGTGGGCGGATCACTTGAGGCCAGCCTGGCCATCATGGCAAAACCCCATCTCTACTAAAAGTATAAAAATTAGCCAGGTGTGGTGGCGCACACTTGTAATCCCAGCTACTTAGGATGCTAGGGCACAAGAATCACTTGAACCTTTGAGGTGGAGGTTGCAGTGAGCCCAGATCATGCCACTACACTTCAGCCTGAGCAACAGAGTGATGATCTGTCTCCAGAAAAAAACAAAACAAAACAATGAGACAGGTGGAGACTGAACACCTGCCTTTTTTGTTGCTGTTTTTAACAACTGATATAGGTATTCTGATGATGCTACTATGTTACTTAGTTACCCTGAACATATTATTTTTTCATTGCATTAGTGGTATTTCATATTTTTTACTGTTACGTACTGATGTATGAGTAAGTGTAAGAAAATGTTTATTGGTAGCCTATAAATTCAGTCAAGAATGATGGTGATGCCAAACAACCACAGATTGTGCTCATGAATGACTAAGAGAGTGGCTCCTTTGCTTTCTGATGGTTCAGTGTACACAAACTTTGTTTCATGCATAAAATTATTTAAAATATTGTGTAAAATTACTTTCAAGCTATCTGTATGAGGAGTATATGAAAACTAAATAAATTTTGTTTAGACTTGGGTCCTATCCCCAAAATCTCTCATTTTATATATATGCAAATATTCCAAAATCTAAAGAAGTCAGAAATCCAAAACACTTCCGGGCCCAAGCATTTTGGATAAGGAATACTGAACCTGTACCATTACACTCTTTAAAACACTTGTACACTTTGGGAGGCCGAGACGGGCGGATCACAAGGTCAGGAGATTGAGACCATCCTGGCTAACACGGTGAAACCCCGTCTTCACTAAAAATACAAAAAAAATTAGCCTGGCGTGGTGGCGGGCGCCTGTAGTCCCAGCTGTTTGGGAGGCTGAGGCAGGAGAATGGCGTGAACCTGGGAGGCGGAGCTTGCAGTGAGCTGAGATGGTGCCGCTGCATCCAGTCTGGGTGACAGAGCGAGACTCTGTCTCAAAAAAAAGAAAAAGCCGGGCGCGGTGGCTCAAGCCTGTAATCCCAGCACTTTGGGAGGCTGAGACGGGCGGATCATGAGGTCAGGAGATCGATACTATCCTGGCTAACACAGTGAAACCCCGTCTCTACTAAAAAATACAAAAAACTAGCCGGGCGAGGTGGCGGGCGCCTATAGTCCCAGCTACTTGGGAGGCTGAGGCAGGAGAATGGCGTGAACCTGGGAGGCGGAGCTTGCAGTGAGCTGAGATCCGGCCACTGCACTCCAGCCTGGGAGACAGAGCGAGACTCCGTCTCAAAAAAAAAAAAAACAAAAACAAAAAAAAAAAAAAAGAAAAAAAAGTCAGGATTCATTAGGTGTATCTTACTAAAAATAACTTCAGGAAAATTAAAATGTTCAAAATAAGTAAAGTTCAAATTTTCACAGGTGCTGGAGAAAATTTGGAGAATACAATGACAGCCTTTCAGCAGTAAGTATGTAAAAAAGGTAAAAAGTACTCTTTTCTTTTAGAGTTTGCAGGCTTTCTTGAAAGTGATGATGATTCACAAAGTGAGGATAGTGTAAGTGTGGCATCAGTTTGTGATAGTTGTTTCTATTTTGTTAATTTTTTTTTTTTTTTAATTAGTTGGTCAGAAGTGTTGCAAAGAGTGTTTGGCTGACTGAAAAAGCAGATGACTGAAAAAGCAGATGGGAGTTTAGGGTAATCAAAAGATACTATAGTTACAAAGCTGAAATAAGACATTTGTAACAAGGAATGTTCTGTATATAATGCTAATTAGTCTTGGAGAGAAAGAGAAAATGAAACAACTGTTACAGTGGCTGCTATTTATGAATAGGATTATGTGTCTTTGTACCCAGTAATTTTTGTACAGAACTGAACCTGCAATCTGGTTTCTTCTTGGAAGCCTCATGAGTGTTGATCTTTTTTACCAAACAAAATACATTTTTAAAATTCCTATTTATAAATTATTTCATATAAGTGTCTTTTAAAGCATCTCACAGAGAAGCAGCAGGAGAAACAGGAATGAAAACTAATTAATACCTCGTTCTTTGTCTTAGAGTCAATGATTATCATCAGTCTGTGGTAATCGTGAGAACACTGTTTTCCGTGAAAAATAAAGCAGAGAATGTGAAAAGTGAAACCCAATGAAAGACATTACCTATCCATAATTAGTAAGATCCATATTTAGTAAGATAAATATTTTCTTATATAATTTTGGAGCCATTTTAATGTATATAATTGGGACTAAGAAATTTGGAGAATTTGACTTCACTTTTTGTTCTGCTTCTCGTCGTTCAAAGACACCTTAGAGACTATTTTTCTTATTATTATTAGATACAAAGCTATTGTTTTTTCATGTTCTAGTTTCACCTAAATCCTATCTTCCTTGTATTTGTCATCTCTTACTCTTCCTGTTCTATACTATGTTGCCTTTTGTTTATGATCTCAAGAGCCTCTTACAAAAATGTAAATTTTGGCCGGGCATGGTGGCTCACACCTGTAATCTCAACACTTTGGGAGGCCAAGGCGAGGCAGGTGAATCACCTGAAGTCCGGAATTCGGGATCAGCCTGGCCAACATGGTGAAACCCTGTCTCTACTAAAAATACAAAAATTAGCTGGGCATGGTGGTGCATGCCTGTAATCCCAGCTACTCGGGAGTCTGGGGCATGAGAATTGCTTGAATCCGAGAGGCAGAGGTTGCACTGACCGGAGATTGCACTGCTGCACTCCAGCCTGGGCAATAGAGTGAGACTCTGTCTTAAAAAAAAGTAAAATTTTTCCTCCTATCACAGACCATGAAATGGACTATTTTAGTTTAAATACTTTATTTATTTTCTCTACTTAGATTACATATCTGGCTAGCTAGCCATAACTAAATATAGATATATAATTTTTTTTTTTTTTTTTTTTTTTTTTTTTTTTTTTTTTTTTTTTTTTGAGACGGAGTCTCACTCTGTGGCCCAGGCTGGAGTGCAGTGGCTGGATCTCAGCTTGCTGCAAGCTCCGCCTCCTGGTTTTACGCCATTCTCCTGCCTCAGCCTCCCGAGTAGCTGGGACTACAGGCGCCTGCCACCTCGCCCGGCTAGTTTTTTGTATTTTTAGTAGAGACGGGGTTTCACTGTGTTAGCCAGTATGGTCTCGATCTCCTGATCTCGTGATCCGCCCGTCTCGGCCTCCCAAAGTGCTGGGATTACAGGCTTGAGCCACCGCGCTCGGCCTAGATATATAATTTTATGTGTACAAATTCTACAACATATACACACACTATCATATATCATTTGTTGCCCACGAGGTTGGTGATACATATAACGAGAAAAAAACTACTCATAACTTTGAGTGATTTTAGCATTCTTCACACTTAAGGCACATTATTTTATATTTTCCTCCGTATTTTTTGCTAAATTTTTACCAACCACCATTATTTATGAAATTAAAATACTGGGTTATAGAATAAATTATTTTAAAGGATGATGCATTTGAAAAAAATCACAGTTTTTTCTAACCTTTGAAGATTTTGATCCTCTTAACATTTTTTTGATATTTAAAGGATATCTAATTTAAATGGTTTTTACTTGCAAAATAAAACATGTTTTTCATCTTCAACAGTTTTTATATAGTTTTGTTCAAATAGTAACTACTGAAAAGTACCACAGCCTTCTGTATCATGTGGAAGCTTTCTATAACTTAAAAAAAATTTTTTGGAGATTTTTCTAGTACTTCAGAAGAAGGGAACACCTCTTTCACATGCTACTTTTGTTGTTGTTGTTTGTTGTTTGTTTGTTTGAGACAGAGTGTTGCTGGAGGCTGGAGTGCAATGGCGTGATCTCAGCTCACTGCAATCTCTACCTCCTAGGTTCAAATGATTCCTCTGCCTCAGCTTCCTGAGTACCTGGGATTACAGGCACCTGCCACCTCTCTTGGCTAGTTTTTAGTTTTATTTATTTATTTTTTAAATAGAGACGAGGTTTTGCTATGCTGCCGAGGCTGGTCTCAAACTACTGACCTCAAGTGATCTGCTCACTTCGGCCTCCCAAAGTGCTGGGTTTACAGGCATCAGCCACTGCACCCAACCTTTCATATGTTATTGTTAATGTTTGTTAGATGTATTTATTTGTAAGGCTGCTTATCAACTGACTTAGAAATTTATATAAAACCCCTTTTTTTGAGTTTTTCATTATTAGTGGTGGTGGTTTGTGTGTGTGTGTTACACATTAGTGCCCTTGCTATGAATACATACTTTTTTTTTATTATACTTGAAAAAATTACAAATATTTTACTGTTAACTGCTAGGAATCTTAGAATGTTTTTTTGTTTTGTTTTGTTTTCATACTTGTTTCATTGAATAACAAGAAAACACTGTTTAAACATACTATTTTGGCCCATCGCGGTGGCTCACATCTGTAATCTCAGCACTTTGGGAGGCCAAGGCTGGTGGGTCACTGGTGGTCACGAGTTCAAGACCAGCCTGGGCAACAGGGTAAAACCCTGTCTCTAGAAAACGTACAAAAAAAAATTAATCGGGCATCATGGTGCAGCCTGTAGTCATAGCTACTCCAGAGGCTGAGGTGGGAGAGGATGGCTTGAGCCTGGAAGGTAAAGGTTGCAGTGACCCGAGATGGCACCACTGCACTCCAGCCTGAGTGACAGAGCCAGACCCTGTCTCCAAAAAATAAATAAACATACTATTTTTAAGGTACTGTATATTAAAATACTAAAGAGTTGTAATATACACTCAGGAAAAGATACATACTATGCTTAAGTATGATATATTCTTGATAGGATGAGGGAGAGATAGTAAAAATAAAATGACCAGCTAAAACTTAGACCTTATTTATTTACATATTTGAATACACATTTCACAAAGCATATACATTTCAAAGTGGAGGTGAAGATGAGGAGATACTAATGACAATATAAATAGTTGGTGTGGGAAGCCTGATTAAAAATAACCCGAAAATCAAAAGGTATTAAGACTAAAAGGGCTATCATTTGAAGACAAGAAGGAGCTATTTTGAAAATGTAGAATCAGCTGGGTGCAGTGGCTCACACCTGTAATCCCAGCACTTTGGGGGACCAAGGCAGGCGGATCACTTGAGATGAGGAGTTCGAGACCAGCTTGGCCAACATGGCGAAACCTCATCTCTACTAAAAATTAAAAAATTAGCTGGGCACAGCCTGGGTAACAGAGCGAGACTCTGTCTCAAAAAAAAAAAAAGGCCAGTCATGATGGTGGCTCACACCTGTAATCCCAGCACTTTGGGAGGCTGAGTCAAGTGGATCACCTGAGGTCAAGAGTTTGAGACCAGCCTGAACAACGTGGAGAAACCCCTTCTCTACTAAAAATACAAAATTAGCTGGGCATGGTAGCGCATGCCTGTAATCTGAGCTACTAGGGAGGCTGAGGCAGGAGAATCACTTGAACCCAGGAGGCAGAGGTTGCAGTGAGCCAAGATTGCACCATTGCACTCCAGCCTGGGCAACAAGAGTGAAACTCCATCTCAAAAAAACAAAAAGTAATAATTAAAACTGACAAAGAGAAACAATTGGGTCTCACAATGTATGAAATGTCCTTTAATGTGTTTTTTTTTTTTTTTTTTTTTGAGACAGTCTCGCTCTGTCGCCCAGGCTGGAGTGCAGTGGCCGGATCTCAGCTCACGGCAAGCTCCGCCTCCTGGGTTTATGCCATTCTCCTGCCTCAGCCTCCTGAGTAGCTGGGACTACGGGCACCCGGCTAGTTTTTTGTATTTTTTTTTTTTTTTTTTTTAGACGGAGTCTCGTTCTGTCACCCAGGCTGGAGTGCAGTGGCGCGATCTCGGCTCATTGCAAGCTCCACCTCCTGGATTCACGCCATTCTCCTGCCTCAGCCTCCCGAGCAGCTGGGACTACAGGAGTCCGCCACCAAGTCCGGCTAATTTTTTGTATTTTTAGTAGAGACGGGGTTTCCCCATGTTGGCCAGGATAGTCTCGATCTCCTGACCTCGTGATCCGCCCGCCTTGGCCTCTCAAAGTGCTGAGATTACAGGCGTGAGCCACCGCGCCGGGCCTAGTTTTTTGTATTTTTTAGTGGAGACGGGGTTTCACCATGTTAGCCCATGTTGGGATGGTCTCGATTTCCTGACCTCGTGATCCGCCCGTCTCAGCCTCCCAAAGTGCTGGGATTACAGGCTTGAGCCACCACGCCCGGCCTAATGTGGTTTATAAAATGCTTTCACAAACACCATCTCCCTTAGGTTATGAATATGGCTCTTCTATTATTTCTTTTACTTATTTATTTATTTTCCGAGATGGAGTCTCACTCTGTTGCCTAGGCTGGAGTGCAGTGGCAAGATCTCGGCTCACTGCAACCTCTGCCTCCCAGGTTCAAGCGATTCTCCTGCCTCAGCCTCTGAAGTAGCTGGGACTACAGGCGCGTGCCACCATGCCCTTCTAATGTTTTGTACTTTTAGTAGAGACAGGGTTTCGCCG